CCGTAAGCCCGTAAACCCTAAACCCCCAAAACCCCTCAACCCTAAACCCCTAAACTCTAAACCCTAAACCCCTAAACCCCTCAACCCTAAACCCCCAAACCACTAAGCCCCCAAACCCTAAACCCTAAACCCCCAAACCCCTAAACCCCTCAACACTAAACCCCTAAACCCGCGCAGGCCTCCTTATCACGGCTACCGGCCGCCTCCGACGCCCGTGGGAGGTGCTTCGCGTCATTACGGCTTTGTTGCGGAGGCATGTTGAGGACAGTAGAGTTTAGGGTTTATGGTTCGTTCTTAAGGGTACTTAGAAATAACTTTTAATCTTTGGCTACTATAAACCCTAGGAAGCAGCTAAAATTATAACTTTTGCTAGGGGTCTAAGTTCAGTATAGTGTTGAGGAGCATAATTAATATAGGGGCTGGGTAATTATAGTACCGATACTATTTTGGCGGTTCCCTATTGTAATTATAGTAGGAAGGAGCCCGAAACCCTGTTCGAATTATTGAGGCCCTTTTTGGGGGTACCCTAAATAATAGGTGCCGTATTATAATAATGACCCAAAAAGGGACCATAATTTTGACAACCACCCACATGAGGGAGAGCCCCGTGAAGAGCGTAGGGCCCCCTATGCTGTTTTTCTTGTGAAGGGGATGCGAGATTCTTTGTGATTGCAGGCCCTGAAGTTCCGCCGCATCGTTCGAGAGGCCTTCCCATTCTCGGCCTCAAGCCCTAAACCCTAAACCCTAAGCCCTAAACCCTAAACCCTAAACCCTAAACCCTAAACCCTAAGCCCTAAGCCCTAAACCCTAAGCCCTAAACCCTAAACCCTTTCAAACCCAAAACCCTAAACCCTAAAGGTTGCTCGAAATCAGGGAACCAGGTCTCGGTTTGAGAGTTCCTGGTCGAAGAGTTGATCAGCCCTTGCCTTTGAAGGGCAGGGACCTGTGTTGAACTGCTAAGCCATACTACGCTCTTTCGTTGTGTTGGGTTTTACAAGCTCAGGTCGGGGGTGAAGGCCTAAACCCGAAAGCCTAAAGCCCTAAACTTTTAGGTTTTTGGTTGAGGGCATTAATGCACGGAGTTTTGGGTTGAGGCATCTCAGCAGAAGGATCTAGGACTTGATGAATGTAGGGGCCTTAATAACTAGAATAGGGTTTTGGAGGTTGCTTATTTTAGCTGTAATATAATACACCCCAAACCCTATTATGAGTGTTAAGGCCCCTATAGTAGTTTGGAGTCTCGTGATCGGGTTCGAGACCCGTTTCACCCCAGCAACTAGGAGCAGACTTGTCTTAAAGGCGTGTTGCCGCTAGCCAAAGTTTAGATCGAGTGATGTTCCCAATGGGTGCTAAGATCTTACCTTTGACTGACCAGAAACCATCATCGAATTATTTGCCTTGCTGCTCAGCCTCTTCTGAACACGGAGACATGGCAGGAGTCGATGTTTAAGGTTGCTTATCTCGCAGACATCATGGTGGGACTACGGCTATGACCACTGTAGCATCCAGAGGAATCTTATCGTGCTAGACCGTAAGCCCTGTGCCCGAGCTCCATCGCACCACGTCCGAAAGGTTTTCCGCCCAGGGCGTTGCGGTTGGTGATGATGACGATGATGCTCAGAGAGTCCAATACCCCTTGAATGAGGGACAGCCCTAGAACTACAGAGGAAGCCCTGAACGCTCAACCTCAAGCCGCCGTCTGTGGCGCTCTGCGCAGGCTACCCGGAAGCGCGGGCCAAGCCGCTCCCCGATAACCTCTTCCAGTAGCCAGCGGCACGCCTGGCTTCTTCTCGGAAAGGCTTCAGGTTTGGGCCTCATCTTCAACCCAAAACCGATCAGGGGCCCTGGGGTGCGAGGTTTTGACTGGTCTGGTTGAAAATGAAGATGTCGGGTCCCAGGACAA